AAAGAAAGGAAAGCAAAGCGATAAGGCCATTGGTTGAAAAAAGCAGTCATTAGGCAATAGAACAAGAAAGATTCAGAGACAGAAACAGGCGACAGAGATAGATGGTGAGTAATAGAGATAAGGCGAGAGCCGTTATGAGTCAAACATGAAGACAGGATGGGAGATGAAAAGACAAAACTAAAAAGGAGGAGGGAGAGAAAGGGGGTTGAAATGATGAAGAGAATAAGAAATGAGTGAGGAGGAGAGAGAACAGAGGAGGAGAGACAGAAGGTTAGAGCAAAATTTAAAAAAAAGATGAAAATATCACAGGATGGGGGGAGAGAGAGAAAGAGGGAGATGATGAAGGTCAGTGAAGGAGAGAAGGGGACAGACAGAGCGGGTGAAGAAGAGAGAGAGAGAGAGAGAGAGAGGTTGTTTGTATCTCATATGACTCCATTAAAGTTTGAATAGTTCTCATCTCCCTTTCTGTTTCCTGCTGCTGGAGAAAACCAGCTGCTGCACACACACACACACACACACACACACACACACACACACACACACACACACACACACACACACACACACACACGTTCAGATACAGTATGCAAGTTTTCACACGTGTGCACACAACATGTATAAACGTATGCATGCACACACACACTTACATATGCCTCACAAACACATAAACAAACACTGTGTGTGTGTCTGTGTGTGTGTAATGGGGAACTGCACAGAGAGAAGACAAGATTAGAAAAGCAGGCCAAGAGACGGTTTCCCATGGTGCATCTCTGGAAGCATCTGTATTAGACCGGGTTGTGTCAACACTGACTGCTCCTCCAGCTGAGGTCGAGAGGGAGGGAGAGAGACACAGAGACAGACAGGGAGACAGACAGAGAGAGAGAGAGAGAGAGAGAGCAAGAATGGGAAGTAAAATTTGTGTATGCTTTTTTTCCATTTCTGTGAGTGTGCCTGACAGACACACAGGGAACGACAGATCACTCTGAATGCAGAGGAGGAGAAAAAAGGGGGGACGAAGATAAATGGAGGAAGTCTTTGAAAAGAGAAAGAGAGAAAATTTATATATAAAAGATTCTCAAAGTGGCAGGAATGAGTGAGGCAGAGAGAGAAAGAGAGTAAAAAAGAGTGACAGTGATGGATGGGAGAGATAGATGGATGGATGGAGGGATAGATGAAGGGACGTGCGGCGGGTTAGAGGATGGAGAGGCGGCAGACGGAGATTGACAGCCTCCTTTCCCGGGGACGGATGAATAAACCGGGCTAGGAAGGGGAGTGTGTGTGGGGGTGGGGGAGGGAGAAAAGATGGAGAAAAGGAGTGAGGGATGGAGGAGAGGAGGTAATGAGAGATAGAGTACGTCTCCGTAATCAAGCCATAAAGGAGAGAGGGAGCGAGGGAGCGAGGGGGAAAAGACGAGTGGGCTCTGAATGAGTCAATCATGATTAATCAAGACGCTTCTCACTCTCTGTCGCTCTCCCTCCCTCCCTCTCTCTTTTTGCTCAGACTCATCATCATCATCATCATCATCACACTGGCACACAAAACCTTGTCTTCCAGTGCAGCCCCCCCCATCAGGACTGTGTACATATACTCAGAGCACATGCATTTATGTATTTTCAGGGCTGTGCAGATGGGTTGTTGGCTTTGATTCTTTAAAATGAAGTTCAATCAGCCGGCTCACATTGAAAAGCTTATAAAATAATATAATATAATATAACATAATATAATACAATATAATATTAGAACTTCTCTGACTCTGACCTTATCACTCCCCACAAAGGAAAGCAGCACAGCAGGGAGTGGGGAGTGACAATAATACTCAGAGCCTACAGGTGGGTGGATGGATGCTGGGAGTGTTGACAGCATGTGACAGCACAGCTTTCAGGTGAGTGGTGTAAAGTGCACGGTGGGAAAAGAGTGAGCAGAGCTCAAGTACCCTCGGTGTTTATTTAAAAGGGGGCATTGGATATATATGTTGCAGTGAGATGAATAAGAGGCTGACTCAAGTTGACTGACTGAAGGCTTCGCTTCATTAATGTCCACTTGTGGCCCCTCGTCACAGGTTATATCTTAAGTGCGGACGTGCAAGCAACTTAAGAGAGATTTTCCTTCTTGGATGGTTTAATTTTAAGGATTTTCAGAGGTGAAAATGTGCAGTGTATCACAAAAAAGCTAAAAATTATAGGAAAGTAAAAATCATTCATCACTGTAATCAGTTTAATCATTTGACACATCAGATTTATAAGGACAGGGCTAGTTTTACTGTATTTTATGATTAAGTTTCAAAGTTTATGGTTACATTTATTCATCCATAATAACATGGACATTACATTACTGTCACTCAAAAAAATATTGAATAAATACCTATAAAATGCAACCACAGTTAAGACCAATATAAGATAATTACTGCGTTGACAATATTGTTATTGTTGACACATGCAACCAAAAAGGCGTCACTCTGTCTCTATAAATAAATACATATATAAATATATTCTTACTGAGGATGTAAACCTTTCAAAATGAGTCACAAACACACTTGCATTTGAAAATAAGTCAGTAATTTACTGAGACAGCTGGGAACTAAAGCAAATGTTAGTCAAACAGGAGTCGATCGTGCACTGGGAACTATTTTCAGATTGGTACTCATTTGGTGCTCTAATGATTTACAGCAGCAGGGTGGTGTAAGTGGGGCTGACTTTAAATAAACTACATTGCCCAGGTTTATCATAATGAAGGAAAATGTCGCCCAGGGTAACAGTATGGCTCTTTGATGTGGCACAGAAGAATATAAGGCAATAAATATTGGTCGCATACATTTTTTGTCGGGTTAGTTCTTTTCATGGGATTTGTTGACAATAAGAAAATTAAATAATATCATCAGCGTTATCCTTTAGGGTGCCACTAATTAAACAACTTGAGTGTGATTGTGGCACTTTATCTTTTTTCCACAGGCTCTAATGTGCTCTATAGAAAAAGACCGGATGAGAGAAAACCTCCCCTCTGCTGCCTCTGCGTCGCTGCTTGTGAGGAGTGTGTGTGAATCCTCAGACAGAAAGAGAAAAAATAGGGCACTTTCATATTCATTCAAGTGTCAGATCCAGAGCTGTCTATAGGGAGAGAGGAAGAGAGGGGAAGGGAGGAAGAGAGGGGAAGGAGGGCTGCAACCACAGGAACTCTGAGGTTTCACAAGCCTTCCTCTTTCTCTTTTTTTTTTTTATCTCTGAACACACAGTCAGGCACACACACACTCATGTGCCTGCATGGACACATGTGGGGTGAGTGAGGGGGGAGGGAATGAAAGTGAGGAGATAGAGGAAGAAGTGAAGAAGAAAAGCAATGCTGTCATTCAAACACAGTAAAAAAATAGAAATCAGTGTGTTCATCAGTGTGCACGAGGTGTGAATGCAACAAACCAAGTTATGTCTCAGGACTCTAATAGACAGAGCATCTAAATGAGGATTATGCACAGGTACCAAACAGGTTGTGATCCACCGTCTCTGAAATGTCACATCAATTCTGGGTACACGCGGCACTGAATAGATAAACCTTCATCAACGCGGCCAAAAGAACAGTCAAATCTGACTCACAAACACTGGAGGCATACGTGAGAATACCTCAGAGGAATTACCTGCTGGTTTCACCTCAGCTGGTAAACGTAAATCAACACTTCCTCCTGGTGGATCTGCTGTGAACTACAGGAACTCTCAGAAGGCGGCAAATGAATGAATTTCTCTGTTTATTAAGCAGAATCTGAGAACACTGTCATTTATATCTTGACATTGGGTCCTAAAGAATGGAGACCCTGAAGTCAGCATGAACCCGAGTATGATCTGGTGAATGTCAGCCTTGCAAAGCCACATAACATCATACAAGTTTATTTATAAGATTCAAGAAAAATCACTGAGAGTTGACTAATGCAGACCAGATATTGCTGAATGTATTGTACCGGGATGTTTTGGTGTTGACTTTCTGTTAGCCTCTGGTCCTGTAGCTTTTGTAACTCAGTGGGTTTTCTCACAGGTTTCTTTTTTTAAATTAGTCTTTCTGAAAAGTGGCAAAAGAACACTTCAGTACCATGCTGAGAAGGGGGATTTTAATGTTTTCCCCCCTTTAATTACAAATATTTATAGAGATAATAATAATAATAATAATAATAATAATAATAATAATAATAATTATTATTATTATTAAGAGATTCAGGAGGATCTATTGGATAAAATTAAATATTATATTTATTGGTATATTTTCATTAGTGTACCTGAAAATAAGAATGGTTGTGTTTTTGTTACTTCAGAATGAGTTTATATCTACAGATGCTATGGATCCCCTTCTGTGGAGGCCGCCATGTTTCTGTTTCTACAGTAGCCCAGAATGGACAAACCAATCACTGGCTCTAGATAGGGCAGTTTGCGATTGGGAAAGGAGGGTGAAGTGAGTGAACTGCTGAGCTGCAATCACACTGCTAGATTCCACTAAATCCTACACAGTGGACCTTTAAGTTTAAACCAACATGGAGTCAGTAAAGTGCTCAGAAAAATCTATCTGCCGAGGAAGACTGTACGCAACGGAAAGCCCCAGAGTTTCCACTAAATGGGCCTTGTGAGGAGTTTGTTTTTGTACTTTTAAGTGTTTTCCTTCCCTCCAGACAGCCTTTGCTTTTCAGTCATTTTCAGTAGGCTACAAAAACCTACTTGCCATTAAGCTGAGATGTTTGTCAAAACGGCTCCTACAAAGGATAAGCAGGTATTGATAAAGAATGTTTTTTATGTTGTTGCATGGGTTTTTTTCTTGGAGAATCACGAATAAAGTTCATCAGATGTGCTGCCGTAACCAGAGTGTCTTAGTTAAAACCGGGGGGGAGAGAGAGAACGACCCTATTACAGGAATCAAACATGATTAGTTCATTATTCGAACACAGCCATCCACACCAATCAGGACACAATCTGTAGTTTTAGAGATTTACACAGAGACGTTGAAAAACAGTTACAAAAGAGCAGGACAGTTTCTTATGATTTGATTGACTTTATTTGTAAGGCACCAGAAGTCCTTCCTTACTGCAGAACATTTCATATTATTTATAGTAAATGTTTGTTGTACTTTTTTATAGTTTCTTTTTTTGTTTCAATGAAGCTATGATTTCAGACACAAAACTTTTTTTTTTTTTTTTTGCCAAAGTACACACTTTCAGGTTTTACATTATGCACAAAATAAGTATTTAAAAAAAGACCTTTACAAAGCTCAAAACGCTTACAATGCTTCACGCTATGGGGGCAAAAAGTTGGAAAGGTAGGATGTGGCATGGGACTAAAGGGGATTAGGAGGGGGTCAGAGAAGAAGAAAGGGGTCAAAGGGCAAAAGGTCAATGTACTGCAGTTTCCCCCCTGGTGTCACATCAGTTTTGTAACACAATAGCACAAGAATCATCCAGGACAGACAAGAAAAGATGCAGCTATATACACATAAAGCTTTCTATGTATAACTGTATACAGAGGCGAGCACCTCCAACTACTTTAACAAATACATAGAATTTCATTTGTATGTTTATAACGTCAGCTTTGTAATTCTCGTTCTAATTCATATCGATTAATATTTCAAAACAAAGAAGAGGAACAAAAACAAGTGCATTGATCACAGAAAGTTTGGACCAAACATTCTTTTAAAAAAATGGTCTCCACTAGAAAGAAATCAATCTCGGTTCCCCCGCAGACATGCATTGATGCGTGTGTGTGTGTGTGTGTGTGTGTGTGTGCATGTGTGTGTGTCTTGCTTTGTCTACACGCTCTGCGTATCACTACGACAAGTACAGTATGTAGCTAGATACATACAGTATGTGGCTAGATGGGAGGACGATGTGCTGTGAGCTTAATTCACAAGCAGAATAGCATGTTAGCTTTAGTTGTAGTAAGAACAGCAACGCATTTTATTTCTGTGGTTTATCGTCGACGACCAAACCTATACAACGCTTTATAGACACCTTGTTTATGTATCATATACATACACAACAATGGGCGTCATTGAAGGAGTCCCACCAACGTCACCAACAGTATGTTATCTCAGCTTTTAGACACGTGAAGGGTTTTATTCTGCGGGTTCTATAGTTGTTGCTTTATGAATGAATTTAACAATAAAATGTGCTTCATGCCAGGGAGTAGTGATTTTCCAAATTAACATTATTATTTTAGAATGAAACTCTTCATAATCAATTCATTCTCACAGTGTAGCCATTAAGACAGAGAGGGGAGGCTAGGAAAAGTGTGTGTATGTGTGTGGTATTAAACAGCTTCATACATAGGCTGTCTTCAAATCAACACTCAAACCGCCACCGTTCGACTCACAGTCGATCAAACAATCTTTGAGGGCCGACAGTGCCAAGGTCCAGGGTTCAATTACCACTGAGGCTACCTCTGCTAGAAATGTATGCGTTTGCAAAACACCCTAAAAATTTTAATTTCATCTTGGCTTGTAGACATTTAATGGGGCCATTTTGGCTGCTACTAAAGCCCCTTACACACCCGTAGTCCACCCACACAGGTGTTTTCCACTTGCTGCCTGATTAGACCTCTTCGTGGGACTCTGCTATATCTGACTTGGCCCCTTAATAATACAGAAATGCCTGAAAGCCAAATGAACACGGACGCCTCACATAAGTTCATCACTAGGTAATTAAACCCAAGTAATTAAATGGGGCATTATCCTTCAACAAAGGTCTCCTGCTGTAATCAAACTGGGGATGTTGCGATTATATCCTAAGCGTTTTTTTGAGACACCTAAGATTTTTTTTAACACAGCCAGAGTTTGATGACATCACACAGTTTTACCTAATCGCCACCTGACTAGAGGCCCAATCGGACAAGGTAATTGAAAACAGCTGAGTAGGTGTGTGTGAGAATGAGGGGGAGGTGTTTTTTTTTCATCAGAGCAGCTGTGGAGGACGCTTGTGCTTCATCTGTGTGATCTGCACTGATTTGATTTTGATAGGTTTGTTGATCTCCCACTCGGTGTTGTATGTAGGTGTTAAATCCTCTGTATAATGTCGTGTTAGTGTGATATGTGACAGAGTTGTATATTTACAGTGAATCAACATGTACAGTATTTAAATCTGAATTTACAGAACAGGATCAAAAGCACGGGTCCAAGTTGTGTTTTAGTTTCACGCCGAGATGTTCCTTAAAATAGACCAAAGACCATTTCTCAAGAACTGGATCATGACAGAGACCGGGACTGACCGCATGCAGAGATTAATGTCACCAGTCTAGTCTCTGTATATTAAGTTTGTACACACAGAGTGGATAAATAAGCCATTCTCCCTTTGTGACACAGCCTGTATTCTGTCATTGTCTTGTCCTTGTTTTGCTCAGGTCTAAACTCAGTGAGGAGCATTCCTCAAAGACACACACTGCCCTCTGCTGTCAAACACACAACATGCACACTCTCTCCCCTCAGTGCCTGCTCTAATGTTAGTGCACATTAAAGATGAAAAAAAAGGTGGTGGGAGGGTGCAGGAGTCAAGTGGCATCTCTCTGTAGTTAACTACTGATGAAAATGTTGCCTTTCAGTTAAGGTGCTGGGTGGATTTATCTGACGTACCTCACAGGGTCAGGCGAGGATCGTAAGTAGGGGGGATTACTTACTAAGGTGGGTTTGTTATCTATTCTGACAGCTCTCCGCATGAAATTTGCTCTAAGAAGGTGCTTTTCCTTCATCCATATAAATTTAGGATTATACACAACATCTCTAGTTTGTCGATTGGAGATGGCTTTCTCATTACAAAGATTCTGCTCTGAAAGCAGCAGTTTTTGGTTGGGACGTCTGTGCAGGTTTAGCGGCGTTTGTCTCTTCATCCGGGGCATGAGGGCACTATTTAAGTACTTTATCTGAGCCATAACAACCCACCGTTTCAATTCAAAACTCAACCTTTAGCTTGGAATCAATGCATGCAATCTCAACTGCCAAAAATATCAACACTACTGATCTCTGTAAGACCTCTGTCTTAGGAAAATGAAGTTTGTAGGAATCCTGTGTTGTGTCTGACAAGTTTTACAGCTTGCCAAGAATCCCTGTGTTTAACATTTAGCCTGTTTTAACACCTACAGTACAGTGCGTTCAGTCTCACAGATCAGTCCTACATAACAAGGACCTGCTTAGAACAGAGGCAAGAGGTGGAGGAGAGTGGGAGAAAGAGGCATGGAGGGAAAAAAACAGAAACTAAACAGGAATAAGAACTCAGAGGCAGTGCGACAGGGAGGCAGGAAGGAACAGAAATAGAAAGTTGTCCTGATAAAAAACATAAACCCAAAAAAACTGAAGTTAAATCGGATACAAAAAAGACAACGAAAGGGAAGGTAAAGAAACAACCCAAGTGTGAAAAATATGAAGAGATCAGGACATAAGGACACGGTTAGGGGTCTGTAACTGGAGCTGCAGGGATGGGAGTGAAACCCATGTTTGCTAAGGTCAGAGAGAGGGAGACCAGGGGAGAGGCTGTAGGCCAAGGGGGGCTCAGATTTGGGTATTCAGGTCTCTGGATAAAAACAGAGCTGAATGGGGGACACCATCTAATCAGACTTGTCTCCGTCCTCCTCGCGGTGGCTGTCAACTCCGTCACGTGATGCTTTCTCCTCCTTGGCCAGCTGGGCTTGGGAGGCCAGCAGGGAGGAGAGGGAGAAGAGACCGGAGGAGGTGGTGACGGCAGGGAGGGTTGGCTGGCTCAGGCCCAGCGGCAGAGGGGTCATGGGCAGGGCCAGACCCTGGAGCTGAGACAGCTGGTGAGCCTGGAGCTGCTGCTGCATGGAAGACAACCAGACACAACTTAGACACAGTGGGATAGATCCAGCACACAAATCACTTCAAAACACTGAGGGAAATGCAAAAATCTGCAATGCACAGACCTATTATACAACACAAATGATGTTTAATATGTAACCCCTGAGGCACAGCGCTGATAGCTCAGGCAAAATAGGAAAGATGGAAGGCTAGAATTCATAGCTAAAATATATGCTGCGTAGCAGGCAGAAAATAAGCAGCACCCATACTTATTTATAATAGATGCAATTTTCAATAGAAGCCCAAGAAAACAATTAAGAGGGGAGAACACGGTACAAAAATGGAAAAACGGTCTTGCAGAGAACAGACATGGTCTTAAAAAAAAAGAAAAAGGTATAAAACATGGGATACACAGACAGTTTAATGTATAGGAAGAAAAACTGTTACTGCCAAGTCTGTGCATGTTCATCTCTCCTGGTTGTACACACGCTCAACATGATGACACATGAGTGGGTTGATTTTATGACAATCCTGACTTCTCATAAACAGTATCTAACAGCCCCAGTTTGCACAGGCTACATCCTACAAAGTCAACAGCTCTGAGTTACATTCAGACACAGAGCTCAAATACTCTAAATCCACTACGTATAGAGGATGTATAAAGTATTATATTAGCGGCTATCAAAGTAGGATATTAATAGGCATCAGAAAATGGACCAAACTGTGTGGCTCCCCGTACCGAGGAGATCAGGTCCATTCCTATTAACAGGCCAATTCAGACCAGTATCATTTGTATCTAAAACAGCAGACACAAAGACAAAGGCAAGCCACCTCTTTGAATCATGCATCACAGTGATGGAGTGGCTAAGCTAGCTAACACAAGACCCAGAGTAAAATGATGGAGTGGCTCGGCTAGCTAATACTAAATCTCGGGTAAAATGATGGAATAGCTAAGCTAGCTAGTGCAAGGCTTATAATGATAAAGTGAAGCTGGCTAACATTAAAGCCACAAAGATGAAGGACTGCGGGTAGCTGGCTAATGCCCCATCCATATTGATTCAGTATTTTAGCTAGCTAGCTAATCTTACTATTCTAATTACCAAAAGTGTGCCCATGTAGTGGAGGGTATCGTCCCATTTATCCCGTAGATTGGAGTGCTACTTTGGCACTCATTACAAAAACAAAACAATAACACTGAAAGAGGGAGTACACAGATTTTACACATGAAAATCAGTGTAAGACAGTTTTATCGTGCCCTCTGTGGGTTTCTAAAGTCTGAGAAAATAACCATGATGATGTCATTGTCATGTCATCAGGGTCATCTCAGTTTAGGCTTAGAGACTACAAATTTATGACATAAAGCCTGCATAACAAACTAAAGGCATGGAGTTTGAAAAGGCTTGATCCATGCTAGAGACTAAAAGTCAGGATACTTCTGTTGCTTAGATTTTGACCAGTTTTTAAAAAAATGGCCAGTGTGTAACATTTAGGAGGATTGATTGGCAGAAACTGAATATAATATTCATGGATACGTTTTCATTAGTGTATAATCACCTGAATACAGGAACCGTTTTGTTTTTGTTACCTTAGAATGAGACGTTTTTATCTACAAACGCCAAACTGCGCCTTCCATAGAGTCTGCTTTAGCCCAGAAGGGACAAACCATATGCTTTCTCTAGATAGTGGTGTTTTTCACACGTTTCACACCGTAGTTTCTCCTTCGCATTTGGAAAGGGATGGTGAAGCGAGGGAGTGGCAATCTGCAATTACACCGCTAGATGCCACTAAGTCCTACATACTGGTCCTACGATGAAAACATTTAATTGGTAGACTAGGTATTTTAATTTTTCCTTTAAAGTCATTTAAAATGAACAACAGCTGACTCGCAATTTAAAAAATCTGGTATTTATTATAATGCTGTTTTATTGGTCTTGTCTAATTGCATTCTGGTCACTTAATGTATTAAGAACATTAGTGGCCAAAAAAGCAGGGTCAATTTATTTATGTCCAACTCATTTGAAAGCACAGACATTCAATATTTCAGACACAATAAGCCAGTAAATAAAGGTGAAGAAAAGTAGAATTAGTAAAAATGATCAATAATTGCCATCCCAAGACCCTAGCCATGACAAGACCCTCAATCAGGGCTGGGGGCTGGAACATCATACCCTTATGATGGAGTTCATCTCTGGGGGGGTGACCTGCTTGGCCCTCTCTATGGCCGCCAGGACCTGCTGCTGGTGCTGGAGATGGTTTGTGAGGGTGGGGGGTGAAGACGAGGCAAGGAAAGTGGGAGACAATAAAAGCAAGACAGAAACAAGGGGAGGAGAGTTTGGGGGGGGGAGAGGTGGAGAGGTTAGATCAATATCAATAGTCCCAACAGAGACCTGACAACCCTCTCTAGTGATGCATCCCCCCCTCCGGCCATTCAGCGATTCACCCAGTCTCACACTCCACACACACACACACACACACACACACACACACACACACACACACACACACACACACACAGAAGCCTTGTGTGACACTGGTGAATGGATGGTTGACTAGTGTGCTGTAATGGGTGGAGGTCAACGCCCTGGTGGGCAGATAAGAGCATGGCTTATCTGAATCACACAGCCATTTATTACACTGACACACACAAACACGCACATGAGGAGAGGGGTGGAGGAAGTGTTGGAGGAGGAGGGAAGAATAAAGGGAAGGAGGGGAGAGGAGGAGGAGGTCAAAAAGGGAGGGGAGAGAAATCTGGAAGGACAGATTGAATATGGCACAAGAGAGTGGGGGAGGGAGGCATAAAGCAAAAGTGAGGCGGAAAGGAACACGGGAAGCGAGTGATGATGAATGACGGGAGGAGAGGAGAGAAGAAGAGGGAGGGATGCTGAGCGAGGGGTCACGGAGGTGGAGAGGTAATGAGGCGGGAATGAGGGTGATCTCATTCCAGGATGTAAGGAATAGGGCTGAGGGTCAGAGGGTTAGTGACGTCTTCGTGTCAGTGAGTGTGTGTGCGTGCGTATGCTTACCTCCTGAGACAGGTAGGGGAGGACTTGTGCGCAGATCCCGTTCAATCTCTTCACTATCTCAGCCTGTGAAAGGAGAGTTTTGTCATTAAAAGGATAATACTGGTGTTACTCTACATTTTAGCCAACAAATCCCATGAAAAGACCAAAACCAACAGTGTGTCAGTCAGTCTCAATTCTGACGCCAACAGAGTTTTATTCCTAAAAATTTAAACAAGTTATTTCCTGAAGCAGGTGGGCACTGTAGTTTCTAGCAAACATGACTCAAACAGGAGTAAATACGGTATTTTTTTGCAGACTATTTTCAGATGTGGATGAAAAAACATTTAATGCTCTAGTGAGTATTCAGAGCAGCAGGATGATATATGTGGAACTGACTCAAAATAAACTACAGTGCCCACGTTCAGCGTAATATAGGAACATGTCACCCAGTGCAACCGTGTGGCTCATTGATGTGCTTTTAAATTCACTACACGTCCTTACTCCACCCACACACGCGTTTTCACTTACGTCGCCTGATTAGACCTCGTCTCAGGACTATGTGGGTGTGTACAGACTATGCTTGACTGACGGCTCCCTCGTCTCTTATTAGATTTGTTACACCATTATCGATGAGCAGCAAGGGTCGGGGAAACCAAGACTGTGTCGTTCAGGTTTTTGTAACTTTACGCATTTTTCATGGAAGACATATTGACATGTCACAGTAGAAAAGGCACAGGTGTAAATAATAAAACATGATTTAGCTGCTTCAGTTTCAGGGTCCTGGTATTGTGCATGCTGGCTCACTGTCACACCGTTATAACTTAAGGCCACTAGACTTGCCGCACATTTGACAATAAAAACGACCTCACATTTTTCCAATAATGTTTACACGCCGACTCCGAAACTTTTGTCCGTCATTAAAGTTTTTAGAACAGGTAAAAAATGTTGCGTTTTTTTCGCACCAGTCAGATGAGCACACACAGACAGCAGGGAGAGCGACGGCACACAGACAGAGAGCGGGGACAGCCTGTGGAGGAACCTCCAGTGGAAAGAAGCAATGGGGAAATGAGAGAGAGCAACAGCAGCGATCAGACAGCTCCTTTATCAGCAGGTGAAACTCCTTGTTCTTGACAACCTGGACCCAATATTTCCTTTTTCTTTTTCTACTTTCAAGTTAGAGCACCACAAAAACCATCCTCTTAGCGTATTGTGAATTTTGCAATGAATAGAATAATAAAAAGCATTGGACTCAGTCAGCAAGGTTTCTATGCGTAATGATTTTAATTAGATGGATTAAAAAAACGTGTATGAAAAATATGGACGGTGTGAAAAGTCCTTTACTGGGACATTTGAACAGAGCCATCATTACTGTTATTAGTAACACCTGTTCTTTTCCTTCTATCACAAGTTAAAATGTGTGAAAAAGACCTATTGACTACAGTATCTAACTGTGCTTTGGTGACATCACGCAATTCCCAGGATTAAAGGTCCCATCAGCCAGAGTAAATGAAAGCAGCTGTGTGGGTGTGCAGGTCCTTTAATAGTTGTTTAACCATTATGGCTGTGGCACAAAGGAATAAACTGTATCAAGTTTACATAGGGCTACGCAGACGAAACTAGTTCATTCATGGTTGGTTTGGGTTTTTTTCATGGCATTTGTTGACAAGAAAAAAAAAAGAAAAACATCAGACCTATCCTTTAAACCCTTTTGATTCAAACCACACTCTCATCAGTATGGGAAACATCTGCTATGACCTTCCCAAACTGGAGCACACATACTTCGCATCACACACGCACACATCAGAAATATCAGACTCCCTTTATTCACCTCATTAATTAAGTTGCTTGTACCTAATACGCTTTCCTAAAACTCTTGGACGCACACACAATAACACACACACGGTAACAATCACACACACACACACACGGTAACAATCACACACACACACCCACACACACACACACACCCTTTCCTCTCCCTCGTCATGCACATTCCCTATCTTTCTCACATACAGGTCTATTATCACATTTGGTTGGTAATCATCCAATCCGTCTGAGATATGCAAAGCAGCAGTAATTGTGTTAGAGCGTAATTCGTGGCGCGATGAGGAGAGAGGGGCCCTCCTAACAGTCATTAGGCATGCAGAGCACAGCTCCCCATCAAGCGCTTCACTCCTATCCGCTCATCATTACACATACACACTCCCTGACATATCTAAAATGTCTCTAAAATGTCTCTGCGGGACTCGCTCCATGCTAACTATGGCTCTTCCTCTTTTTCAGTGCCCTTTATACCGTCTCTCTCTTTTTTCCCCCAACGCAGCTTCTGTCTCTTTTATCTGTGCTGTCTATTATCCTCCTCTCTGTGTCTCTCCATCAGCTTTTTTCTGTCTGAATGTTTCTTTCTCTCTTTTGTCCCCTCTTTCCGTTTTGCTCTGCTTTTTTTCTAGCTTTCCTAAAGTGCTACTGGAGCAGACATTCATTGACAAGAGCATTACACGTGTGCAATAAAACATACATAATATAAAACTGGGCTAGGACACTGGACAAATACATCAAGGATCTGCAACAGGCTGAATCCATTGCAGTTGGAGATGTCTCTGCTGCTTTTCAACAATTTAAATAAGCCTTATCTTTTGTGATTAGAGAATGTAGATGTAAAAGGGAGAGCAAACACAGAGACAAAAACGTGTTCAAGTTGATTTAAAATGTGTTCCAAGGAAACATGGAAGGCAGCCTAAACAAACCTAACATTTCACAGGCTTCCTCAGGGTGTCCTGCTTTTGTCCCTGAATGAGCTTTACTATTTGAGTGTCTTATGTTACTGTTTCCTCACAAGAATACAACAGGACATGATACTTCATACATAATTTCTTAAATACCTCAAAAAGATTTAAAACCTTCCTTGGACATCCAAATGCTACAAGTGAATCTCAATCACAAAATCAAACAAGCAGTTGTAGAATTAACCATGCACATTTACTCAAACACCATTATTTCTGATGTAGGTGTACTTGAACTGAGTCTTTGTTTTCTGCTACTTTATACTTTTGTATTGTACGTTTACTGCACTACATTTATATTGACTAATTACTAAATTAAGATTTTACATACAAAACATATAATGGCCTTAAAAATATGATGCATTATTATAAACTACTGTTAGCTCCAACTCAATCAACTACAACCTTAAATTACTGCATGCAAGTTAACACATCAGTTTTATAATCGAGTAACATAATATATGCTAATATAATACTTTGACAGGTTCCGGTCTGCATCATGACTACTTTTACTTTTTGGATACTACTTATGTACTTTTACTCAACTAAAATTCTGAATGCAGGACTCCATCACTTGTAATGAAGCATAAAAATCTGATTACTTTCTTGTCATAAAACAGTGAGAAATGGTAAAATCTAAAAGTCCACGATGTCATCTTCAAATATTTTGTTTTGTCATATTTCTAAAAAGGTTTTATTGTCACATAAGACAAATACACGCAGCAAAAAAACCCCCAAATAATTAATAGGTAGTGTCAAAAATGTAAAATGAATACTTAATGATTGATTAATGGACATTATTTAAGCTCTACTACTTTTATCAAATACAAGATCTACTGTAAATACTTCTTCCACCACACCTAACAAGAGTAATGAGCCCAGATTATTCAGTTCAACCTACAAGTCCCCTCTCTATAGATGAATGCGTTGGGAATTTTCTATATCGTACAGTGTTGTGTGATGACGACTGCTTGACAAGAGAAAGTACATTTTTCTTACTATTTAGACACACAATGAAAGCACCTATGTTATATAATAGCGAACAAAGCGAAGATGCAAGAGTTATGTTGTCAGGTACACACATTCAAGAATAAGAGAGTATAGAATATTAGATAAAGAAAAGCAGAAAACGGTGAGAAAACAGAACAATAGAAAGACAAAGAGAACCCAGCAACAATGTAGATTCATTCAACATATTCCCAGTTCAATCCACAAATCAACCATGCTTCTCCTCACCAAGACAAAACAGAGAGAAAACAGAGACAAGGGAATGGAGAGAGTGAGCAGACAGAGTGGAGAGGCATTTTTTGAATTGAGTAGGACAGAGTGATCAAGAGGGTGCAATTGAATGTGTGAGAGTGCGAGAGAGAAAGAAAGAGAGAGAAATAGAGACAGAGGTGGAGAGGGAGGAGGAGGAGCAGAGGAGGAGGAGGAGGGAGGGGGGAGGGGTAGGGGGGAGGTAGCTGTGCACAATAGGCCTAGACATGAATGCTCCTCGACACTCGTTTCCACACATCCCCTTCAATTTCAACTCTCTAATAGAACTAGCGATTCACGGCACCCACTCACCCTGTGCACAAAGAACGCAAGCACACACACGTAAACACACACACACACACACACACACACACACACACACACACACACACACACACACACACAGGATAACAGGAGCACACTTGAACAGAAACACACAACTGCTTATGAACAAGGGCATCTAACTACACAAATATACGAGCATATGGGCTAACAGAGGGAGACACGCACGCGCGCGCACACACACAAAAATGGTCGTACAGGCAGTCTCAACCCACACACACACACAAATTAAAAAAATTGCAGACAACCAATAAGAAATGAGCAAATGTACAACATCTCACACACACAGACATCTTCACACACACACACACAGACACACACAGACACACACACAGACACACACACACGTGACTGTGAATTTCATCCCTGTCAGATAAAGGAAAAGGGTGTGATGAGCTCCACACATACGGCTTAGTGCTGCGTTTGTGTGTGTGCGCTTGCCCTTAACAGTCTGTGTGTGTGTTTTACCCACATGCATCACACTGCCTGTCTTGTGCTTCCTACCTCGGAGCTTGTGTGGGTGCATATATGTGAAGGTCTTTAAATCATGGAAGCTGCTACTTCTGTGTGTGTGTGTGTCCATTTATCAAAGCATATTCGTTTCTCCCAATATGGCTGTCAGTGTGCGCCGTCAATCATAAGACAGTGTGTGTGTGTTTGTGTGTGTGGACGGGCAGCGCCAGACGAGGTCACCGATAAGGGCTGGCCCTTTTGAGGCCCATCGCTCTCTCCCTCCCACAGGCTGAGCATAAATTACTCCCCCAGCTTCAGCCACACAAACTGATGTATGGATATCGGCTTCTCACCCCTCCCCTGCCTGAATGAGGGCTTCCTTTTCTTTTCTTTCTCAAAATGGCCAACTGATTCCAACTGTACTGTCTTCACTGGGTTTGGAGATTTAGTGGAGGCTGCTCCTCTGATTTTCTGCTGATAAACGATGAAGCTGTTGCTGAAGTTATGACTATATAACTTCTTGCCAAGTTACGATATCCACATTGTGTGCGATCAAAACTATAATGGGACTTAACCTTCCAAGACCTGGAAGTGATAAAAGTCACTTCCTTCCTCATACACATTTCCATGGAATAGAGTGCACAGAGTTAACTAAAACTGATTTGGCAACAGCAAAATGCGAATCCCTCGGCGCCTGCATTTTACACACAGCCTCAGGTGACATCATTCAAATGTCTCTGAAAACTCCCAAAGTGATGGGAGATTATCTCTGCAATTCACACCTGCCAATCAGTGAGCTGCAGGTGCACAGTGGGGGAATGGGTTTGGGAATGCACAGCTGTGTCTGCATCAACAGAATAACACAGTGTGAGGAGTTATTTTGGACGTTCAAGGTTCTGCAAGTAAGTCATATTCTTTTTTCTTTCTTTTTTTTTTTCTACAGACGATGTTAGCTGACTGGCAGCTGGAACACCTCCAAGGTTTTGATGGCCATGAAACTCTTCCACTTGAACAGTCAGTGCAAACAACAAACTGCAATGACAGACTACGATCAAGGACCTTCAGACTTCGTCCAATCGCCAAGTTTAAAATGATGCTGTCTGCACCACTAATGGCGGGCTGAAGTAAAAAAAAACCAAAAAAAAAACCAAACTCACTTCTGTATTCTAGATTAATGTTATAGGAATTCAGCAACTTTGGTGTGGTGCTTTTTTTCCTGATTGAGACAACAAATTGTTCTGAAATGTCAGCAGGTCTCATCTGTGGCTCCTAGTTTCTACATAGCATGTCAAAGTGAATATTTCTTAATGCACGCCTGGTAGACAGGTGCGTAGGAGAATGACGCAATGGAAAAGAAAAATGGAAATTCCTGCTCACTGTGAGCACCGCGTTTAGTGAAAAAGCAATATTCGACACTTAGACTTGTTTTATTCTTTGGCTGGTATTTAAGTATTTACAGCAACAGTTTTCTCAGAAACAAAGTTGAAATATTTCTGATGGCCACAAAATAATCTGTGACAATTTATTGATTTGTAGAAAATAGGTATTTACTGTCACAGTCAAGAGCAACAGACCAACAGCTGTTTATCAACTACAGCAACATAAACACCTTTAACATACAGACCTCAGCAGGATATATTATTAATTTTTCTGGTCTAGCTCTATAAACATGCATGCCTCCTCAGTTTGAATCCAACCTGTCCCACCGACAAAAAAAAAGTATCATTCGGTGGTGCTATTTATGGACATACAACAGTTTTATATGTTATGTGGTGTAAACAGAAGAGCTCTCTTAAAAAAAGGATTAAATGTAGACTCACCTGTTTGTGCATCTCAATATTGAGCCCGTAGGACATCTCATAGTACTGGAAAGGAAGAGAGAGGAAGACATAAAGAAAAAGTTATAACAACACAGGCATCTAATACCTGTAACTGTTCCCAGTAAATCCTCTGCACATGTGCTCCATGCTAACACTTATTATCATTATATCATTATACATAATTTACTGTGTGTGTGATGTGTTTGGCTAACACTGTAATGGGAAAGAAGGCTTAAACTCTCTTTTTCAGATGGCATTCTTAAAAAAAGGGAAGTCTGACTTGCCCCCACAGCATAAAACAATTTCTCACTATATCTATGCCCATTCTGACTGGTGTTAAGCAGCATCACCACATTCCAAGATCTATCTATATTAAAAAAACACAATATAATATAATAATAAATAATATGATGACAATCATAGAAATAAAAAATAGTGACATGTGCCTGCCCTCTTGTACAATGCTACAAACTACAACTATACAATTTTGAAGATTTCCAATCATGAAACTAAAGTCTAGGTAATAAAAAACAAAAAATAAGAGTGAAAATAAACAAAATTTTTCTTCTAACAAAAAGTAGACCCTCAACCCAACCTGACACATCTTAGACATCTTAATGACTCCCAAGATCCCAGATTTTGATTCTACAAACCTATTCCCACCACAAACACGCTTGCATGCACACATACAAAGAGAAGAGAAGAGAAGACACACAGCTACAAATAGGAATAGGAACTGAGAGAGAAAAGGAGACAGTAGAGAAAGAGCCTCTGTTGTGTGTGAGTGTGTGTGTTCAGTGTTAATGAGAGGGCCACCCTCTAGGCGTCAACCCTGTTAATCACCCACTCTGTCTGCAGGGGGACTGGCTCTGTCACTGGAAAACAAACAACACACAGATCTCTCACACATAAATGTGCACACACATACACATACACACGCACGCACACACGCACACGCACACGCACACACACACACACACACACACACACACACACACACACACACACACACTTCTGTCTCTTGCTTGCACTCACACGCACACACCATTATTGTTTTCTGTTCAATCTCGCACTGACACTACCTTGTACGTGAATGCACTCGCACGCACAGACACACCGAACACACACTCTTTTTTTCTGTAGCTGCTCAGGCCCACGCGGAAGCTCCCTAAAGTAATTACAGCGCTGGGGAAATGGAGGTGCTGCCGCTGGCCGGGGGAGTGGGGCAACCTGATATGCTATTAGAGGAGTGTGTGTGTGTGTGTGTGTGTGTGTGTGTGTGTGTGTGTGTGTGTGTGTGTGTGTGTGTGTGTGTGTGGGGCGGGGGGTGTCGTTGTGGGGATACAAGGCTGGGCTTGCCACTGATGGAGTGGAAGTGCGATTGAAAGTGTGTGTGTGTTTGTGTGTGCGTGTGCGTGAGAGAGCAAGTGAAGGAGGAGGGATAAGCCATACTGCATTCACAGTTCAATTTTATCGCAACATTTTGAGCTGAATCTGAAGACGGTTTTGACTGAAGAATCTCTCTTTATATTTCAGAGTAAATTATAAATAACACTGAAAATCACAGATTTGATGACCCAAGCTAAAGCAAGCCAATTTGATTACAACTTGAATGAAACCTTTTTTTAACCGCTGCATCAAAGTATCACTGTCACCCAAAAAATAAATAAAAAGTTTGAACAAACACAGCGGACGCGGCACGATCATAAAATACGTTGCAAAACTGACATTCCAATTCATTCATGTTGTCTGCACTGCCTCGCTGACAACCTAGCAGATGACTTCATCTTCGTCGTCATGGTAACCACGCCACAGACAGTTGTTAATAAAGGCAGCAAACGGCATCACCTCTATTCACGATTTTTCCATCTGCTGTTTCAAATCTAAAATGCTTCTTGTAGTTCTCATTTGGTTTGGGACCATAGTTTTCTTGATTTGATGCTAATTGGGAACAATTGGCAATTTTACTGATAAGACCATTAATAGATCAGAATGGCAGTACAGTTTACACACAAACCCTACTGAAGTACTCAGCATGGTATTTCATTTGTTGTCATTAAGGCGGTGGCGTCTCCCTACAATATGTGCGTGTTTGAATGTAAGCTGTCCTAAGAAGTGTACAATTATCTACTTTCCCTTTACTCTCTATCTAAGAGTTACTTTTTTGGTCTAGGAAATCAGGAAGAAGCTGTGCAGTTATCAGCTACTCCAACACTAGTGGCAAACTTCCACTTTGGAAAAAACACAAAACAAAACACACACACACACCTTTAATTCACATAACTGGTCTGTGATTGCAACTCTTGATTGATTATGCTAGCTAGCACAGTAATAATATACAGTACATCACTTGAAATGTGGCAGAGGGTTGGTTTGTTTTCTATTTTTCCAATTTCTATTTCTGTCTATTGCTGTAACAAATGTCTCACAAATATATAAAATTTGAATTATGCTACAATTGCCATCCATATAAGGTTCATCAGTAATTGGGGGCCACTACCCATGCTCCTGTCACTCACAGCAGGCAGTAGCTGTTATAGAGTCACTACAAATTGCAACTGCAGTAATGGCAGAACACGCAAACCGATTGCCGGATGTAGGTGTGCTTGGTGTAGGCCTTTAGCTTGTGTGTGGGCTATGTTATTTGTCTGCCTGAACCGCTTTATATTTTCTCTTTTCGCATGTTTCTTGTGACTGTTTGCCAATAGGTAACACAAGCTAGGCCTACAGCTGAACATCCCATCAAACTTAGAATTACTCTTTGTATATACGAGCCACGCCTGATATAGACCTTCTCCAGAAAAGGGTCAAAGTGCGCTCGACCCGCCGTCAAGCAGGTTGCGTGTGTTTCGAGACTCAACTCACGTGGCACTGGGTGCTTGTGCTTCATCTTCCTTTCCTTACTCTGTGACGATAATGTCAGCCTGCAGGCTACCGTGCTGTAGATTTACCCAACCATCAAAGGAATCACATAAATTTGACTAACTGGGGAAGCTTGTAAACACTTACTTCAACTATTACCTTAATCTGGCTAATTTACAGTAATTAACACAACAAATGCAAAAGAGAATAAATGTAATTGTGAATGTCAGAGGTTAGATATAACAACATAACTTAAACATTTCTGAATTTAAAAATTTGTGTCATAATTTGTTTTGATTAAGCTTTTCCATCAGAATGTGTGTGTGCGTGTATGGCTGCTATCAGGCTGACAATGCCGAATGTATGTGAGTGTATGAGAGAGATTGTGTGTGTGAGTGTGTGTATGTATGAGAGAGAGATTGTGTGTGCTCATGCCTGCCTGAAATAAACAGAGAGGAAGTGCACATGTGAGTGTGTGCATATGTGTGTGCCTGCTGGCTGGCTGATGGTGGGGAGAGCAGTGCGGCGGCACAGATTAGATGAGATTAAAGCCAGTCAGAGGATCAATTAGAGGCAAAACATCAGACGGCTACACAGCCACGGCCAGCAACAATGAGATTAGCCCTGAGGTGGAGCAGAGAGCGAGCAAGCACATCTGTGTGTGTGTGTGTGTGTGTGTGTGTTTGCGTGTGAACGTGTATGTGTGGAGAGACAGAGAGAGAGATGGGGGGGGAATGGGGGAATGAGGAAATGAAGGGGGGTTGGGGAGAGAAAAATCACACACATAGTTCCACCAGAAACACAAAGGAAGTGAATAATGAAGGACAATTCCAGTTTATTTCAACTATGGTCTTATTGTTGCAGCTTTGGCTGTGTGTGTGTGTGTGTCTCTAACGATTCCTAAATGAAACAACCAAAAACGTATATTTCTAAGATTGAAGAGAATGACATTATTTGTTGGCCTTCCAAAACCATTACAAATCACAATTCAGTTTTATGATCTGACAACGCTACAGTTAAGGTATGGTCAGGCTAAGGTATGAAAAGACTTGGTCGAGGGTAGGGAACGGTCGTGCTCTTGGTTAAAAAGAAACCAATAATGAATCTCGGTAGGTAAAGGGAAACGACCAGCGGTATCCCGTGGCAAGGTCCCACGTTTTGTTCCCCCACCCATCCACCCCGAGCACTTTCCCCTGCGGACTTTGTGGCTCTATTATAACATTATCCGACTTCCTTCTTTGCTTCCAATGGATAAAACTCATCATTCCAAGACATTTAAGGGCATTTGTGAAAATCTAACTGATGCTGTCGTTTTTCTTGGGCGGACAGTCATCTAGAGTTCATCTTCAAATCAGGCAACTGTTTAGGCGCACAACGTTAGTAACAGCACAGTGGAGCACTCTTACTCCATAACACATGAATAAACTTCTGTTTCTACAAAAGACCCAAGGCCTTCCAGACAGAGACATACCCCCTTTTTTTACTTTACTTTTACTATTAATATTTTCAATTGAGAATTGATTATGGACTGAATTGTGACACCTAGAATCAAAACTCAATTGTGAAATTCTCATCTCTATTTGTTAACCCTTTGGATTTGTTTCAAACATGTAGGATTGTCTGACGACTCATGTTTCCTGCCAAGTCTGATTTGGGTTAAGCAGTACCACCACATTCCAAGAGCTCAGCTATTTTCTTGTTTGCGTACAATTTTTATGCGTACATACAACAGATGGCCCTACTGAAGATCCAAGTTGTAATAAACCAGAATTACCTTTTAAGAGAAAAATCTTAAAATGAGCAGCAAGACAAGAGACAACAGAGAACAGAGAAGTGCACTGCAAAGGAAAGGCGGTGGAGGAGAGGGGGAGGGTACAGGGAAAGAAAGAGTATTAATTAACAGAGAGGGTGAAAACATAGGAACATACATCATTTCTTTGCATATAAACATCTAAAAAAAACAAAAAAAATATATAAATAAAATGAAATGTAAAATATAATCAGGTACATTGGTCAAACATACTGTGGCAAAAATTATATTTATGAATACACAAGGCACCATACATTGGCACACAACACACACACACATACACACAGCTTCACTCACCATGATATAATGGCGCTGCATCTCTGACTTCTCACTGGCCAACTTGTCACACTCAAGCTTCAAACTGGGGAGAGAGAGAGAAGAGGAGCACTGAGTCAGACCTTGTTAGTCAGCTTGACAGTCTTCCTTCTAAAGTGCTGACACCAGGTGACTTCAACCCTCTTCATCATCATTACCTCCACTTTCACCAACAGCACTGTCATCACTTTCATTCACTTCAACCCTCATCACTGCCTCCACCTTCATCATCTTCTGCACCACCTGCATTGTCATCATCTTGGCTACCATTACCATCTTTATCATCATCGCCATCGCCATCTCCGTCAACATCATCATTACCGCTGTCATCATCCTCACCTTTACTAGTCAGTGGCGGCGTTTTCACAGAGCTTGGCAAGGTGTCGATTGACAGGAGAAAGGTCAAACTCATTCTGAACTCCAGAGATGTGTCTAGCCAAAATGTCTGCTTTCTAAATCAGAGGAGAGGCAGTGAAGTAAAAAGTCTAAATATAGTGTTGGAGCGTTTCCTGCGACCCAGTCCCAGTGACAGCCATTAGCTGTAATCATGTCAGTGCTGATGTCACGCGAGGCGACAGGACAAAGGAGGACGCGTCAACAAGTCACCCTGATAGTCAAATGAAAAAGACGGGGGGGGGGAACTTCCCTCGGTGCCTTTGATTGAAGCAGCCAGTTACAACGTGCCAGTCTCAGAAGGCATCATCCGATGTGAGGACTGGATAAGACTCAGATCAAATAAAGATATGCGCAGGCACACAGTGGATAGTTTCAGATTTAGGATAAGTCTGAAACCTGTTTGATGGTGTGTGTGTGTGTGTATTTATGCTGGGATGTTCTTCTCAGCTGTCTGCGGGAATGACAGCTCGATTACAGCGAGCACTGGCTGAATCTTCAACACTGTTAGTCTTAACTAGCAGACTGAACACAGTGTTACACATGGCCAAAAATGTGAGCTTACTCATACACACACTATTGTGCCTTTTTATGTAATTATTGTAGCAGCTGCAGTGTTATCTTTAGTTTTGGTTAAGAGATCACCTATTGGATTGGATGGATAAACACTGAAATATACAGTATTTAATTAAGTATCTTATTTAATATTTAAAAGACAATTCTAATATAAATGCAGTTTTTTCTTTATTTTATTATGTGTTCTTCAGAGCATTCCTGAAATCCATCTATTTTATACCCCCACATAGGGACTAGAACCTCATTCATTAGGCAAAAGAGGGACACCCTTGAGGTTGCTCATTGTAAGGCTCACACAAAACAAACACATTCACATGAAGGGACAATCTATCAGAAAACCCTTTGGAGGAATCCCTCCATAAACCCTCCAAACTCCATAAAGAAAAGACAAGGGTGTAGATTTAAACTTAGGACCTACTTGTTGCAAAATGTCAGTGCTGCTATGCTGCCCAGTTAAGAAACTATTGCTTGACATATTTATTCAGAAAAAGAGAACACAGAAATCAGACATGTAATGACCCAGAATCTGTCTGTCCTCATGGTGCTCTTAAAAACACTCATTCATCAGTGCACAGAACCTCTTTCCACATATAAAAGTTAATAGCCTAATATCAGCATCCTGATGTCACGGTGATCAATTACCTTCACAGAAGTCCCAGGAGCTGTTTTTTTAATATGCCTTCAAAAATTAAATGAGGACAATCGATGGCCTCATGCGCAATTAGCCATTCGGAATTATCTTTAATTGTGGTACATTAAAGTAAAAACGTTTTTTAAAAATCCCAAATCATGCTGTAATTATTCTGCCTAGCAGTAATACTGAAGATACTATGTTATTGCTGTGATGTTTCTGCACTGCACTGGCCATAGATTACTTGGCAATAAAGGAATGTAAGCAGTATCCCTTCAGAAACCCCTAATGCTTCATGCATAAAGAATCAAATCTAAACCCCTGAAAGGCTTTTACTGGAAAGCAACAACAGTAATTGTTGACTGTCACCGAGGCTAACATCTAAAGGCTAACTCCTTTTTCAATACACACTGCCTCTACATGTAGACATGGATCAGCTTTAAAAAATTCAAGGAAGGAATGAAGAACAGATGCAGCCTGAACTCAACCAGTTTGATAAAGATGTGCAGGTGACGGGCAATTGGACGAGACCCTGATGTCCAACACATCACCAAGGTGAGGGACGTGTTCTGCCGTGTGCAAACAGAGTCAGTCTACTTTACTGGATGATCATGGTTTCTTATACCATGGCATGCAACAGGCAGGGGACTGGGGGAATGTTTCTTTGTTGGGGGTGATGAGCAGGTTTATTCTGCCACCTATTCTTGTGTGTGTAAGAGCAGCCTCTACTTATCCAAAACGCTCCCCTTCCCTCCTACATAAAACCCTTCCTGCTATCCCTGTGTACATGCGTAGGCTGTGTGGTGGGTTGTCATGACGACAGGCCTCCCTGCTGCCAGCCTACCTGGGATTGGCTTTGTGCCTCCCCTGATTGGTGCTCAGCAGCCCCCGGGCTTGCACCGCTGCTCTCAAACGACACTTTGATGGAGTTTTATTGCCGATTCTTCCGTCTCTAAATCGCTCCTGCTGTCATCTTTATTTTGATTTATGTATTCCCTGATCTATTTATGCATGTGAACGAGGGGAGGGGAGAAGAGGTGGGAGAAGAGGAGAAGAGGAGGGGGGTGGAAAGAGGAAGACAGCGACAGCTACAATGCTTGCTACTATACCCGGGGGAACGCCTGCGGTACATTTGCCTTTTAAAGGCTTCAGCAACAGACAAGCACAGCACAGCAGCAAAGAGCTACAAAGCCTCGTCTGTGGCTCCCAACCCCCCACCCCATCCCAGCCCCCCTCCTGAGTCAATAGGCACTGTATGCATGTTCTGTATGCTCAGACAAAAAGGTATTCTTTCAACTGCGCCCTGGCTCTCTGAAGAGGGTTAAACGGTGCTGCTCACCGTTGTGGGAATTGCAAAAACCAAAGGCGAGGAAAAAGACGCGCAGGGTGTTATTGCCGCTTCAGAATCCTCCGCAAACAAGAGCGATCAGACCAGAGCAGGGATTTTGCACACAATTTGCCAGGCTTTCATCTGCCTTCGCCTGTCTCTGAAACTGGCAGAGGCAAGGTTCTGGGAGAACAGGTACAGAGGAACAAACCAACCTCCTCAGGAAGGAAGACGGGCTTCAAAGACTCCACTCTCACAAAGAGAGGATCTCTCGCTGAGATGCAGACCCCATGGCGTCCCCCCTCTTTATAAGTGCTATCAAACAGATCAGTTGAGGTCGAACCAGGCACTTTGGAAGTGCCTCAGACTTCTGGCACTGTAGCGGTATTTAAGCAGTAAAGGGAGATCAATAGCCTAGGGTAAACGAGATTGATTTAGGTATGAGTCAATAAAGGATGTTTCCTCAGTGTGCAGTGTGGTGGTAGAATTGAGGAATAGTGGAACAAAGGCAGACATCTTAATTTTATCACAGTTGACTGCTGAGGTGTCCCAAAAGTTCAAGCTACATATTTATGCAAAGCTATATTTTAGTTCTAAGGCTCTTTTTTTCTCCGTTATTTATTAGTGTTGAGTCAAACGACCAGTGTGTAGGATTTAGTGCCATCAGCGGTGTAGTTGCAGATTCGGGTTCACCTTCCCATTCCAAGCGCAAAAGGTGAATATATGATGGCTGCACAACATGCATAAAATGCAAATGCCCCTATCTGGAGTGTTTGGTTTGTGTGTTCAGTTTGTGTGTTCAGTAGCTTAGCATCAAATAGGAATAAATTAATTGGAATTGTGCCAATTGAAGCACTTTCTCTTATTTCCCTTTATTTAATGACGTATTTCTTTCCAGGGAACTTCCTAGAAAATAGATATTATAGACCTGTAAAATAAAAAGCAGCCTGGTTTCCAAGTGTACCTCAATGTAACAACATGATGTGGAATTAAATATCGAATAAAGGCCATACATTCACATCACGTCACATTCAATATAGAGAAAATACAAAGTGATAAATGTATAGCCTGGAGATATACTTACAAAGAGCTGCACTTATCAGGCTGTTGTATGTAAATGCTTCTCCAATGTATTTGTGTGTGTGTGTGTGTGTGTGTGTGTGTGTGTGTGTGTGTGTGTGTGTGTTTGAGTGTCTGTGTACATGCAAGTGTTTTCTGATTGCACCTGTGGTATTGTGCTTGGAGGAACTGGAACTCATCCTTGATCCTGTCACAGGAGTCAGAGGTTGTGAATTTCAGCTGCTGCGATGAAGCCTGCCAAAAAGAAAACACACAAGAGGCAAAGGTAAGAAACGAGTAGAAAGAGAAAGAATATGAAACATGAGGAGGGGTGATTGACAGCGAATGAGAGCAGAGTGAGAGAAATAATTAAAACCATAAACATGAAATCATGCAGTTTTCAATTTGACGCAGTCCAACGGGTACGACATTACTAAGAAATTGGTTGCCAAATACGTCTCCACACACAGGGGGCCCAATGCATAAAACCCTGCGCAGATTTCAAGACTAGAACTGTGCATTCACAAAAGCAGAAACATGCAGACCCATTGTTGCTGCCCGATTTTTAACCCCCTCCGTATGCACTATTCTGTCACTCTGAAATTATGCGCCTGCTCACGAGTGATCCACACACAGCCACAATTAGCTATAAATGGATGTCGACACACCCCTATTTAACCTTCTATAGACACAACCCAGACTCTTTCTGTCCTTGGTCTGGCTCTGGCAGCGTCTTTACAGTCCTGAAGCAACCTTAAGAGTTATTACCCATAGCCATTACGAACAATAGCATATGTTGTGAGCCATAACAGCCTATTGATTGATGACACATGACTGAGTCAAACATATAACCCCAATGTGTGTTATTATTCCAGTCCTTATTGTTATTCCAATGTTCAATTTGGGTGACAATACGTAAACCTACTTGCTCATGCTAGAATAAATCTTACTTGTATAAATAGGGATGGTAACACACATTTATAAATGTTATTATAGGGAACTTGGGAGTGTTTGAGTTGTTGAAAAGATTTACCTCCAAATAAAATGTCTCTTAAATTCCCTCACTGACGTCATCCTCTTCTTTGCCACATTGCAACATCGCACTCAAAGGTTCACTCATACAAGTGCTGGTACACGTGTTGTGAAGCATGTGTGGAGTAATATGGATAAAATCTTCTATCAAGTCATGTCAATTTTAGTTATGTAGCCCAATCACAAATCAAAATTTTCCTCATGGGGCTTAATAATTTGTACAACACACAACATCCTCTGTCCTTAGACCTTATCAATTATATGTATCACAATACATATCAATTTAAATTGTAGTGGTGACATAAAGTAGTGAATCCAGACAAACTGGCATGTCATGACACATTAATTGAAATAATCCCTAACTTTATGGAGAGTACAAACAAACAAACAGTTATTATATCTCAGTATAAACAGTATGGGAAAGTCTCTACCGGTTGACAAATCAAGTATCATCTCACAGTCTCACAATATTATCAAATTGTTTAACCCTAAAGTAAGAACATGCCTAACCTTGTTGCACTTTTGTTCCAATGAATGTTATTTTTATGACTGTGCAATATTAATGCATTTGGCCCCTGAAACTGGCCATGGTGAGTTGGCGGACATGACTTAAGTACAAAATAAACATATATTATAAAAAACAATAGACAGAAAGACTAATAGTCCTTTTCGACTGCAGGTAGGTAAAATAAATGTATCATTACATGCAGCCATTGTCACAAGCTCTGCCTTTGTTTTAATCTGATCTGGAAACTGCTCAGGGTGTGCTAATAAATTTAGGTATTTCAGGGGTTGCTCGCAGTGCTGTTGATTGTAATAGGACAAGCACATGTGTCATCCATCACAACAAGGACAACTACAACAAACACAATGCCTGGTGTGTTGCAGAAATGGGGATAAAACAACAATATAAAAAACAGGGTATAGCAAAAAATCTAAACAGTTCGAACAAGATTATAGAAAAATAAATGACTACAATGTGCGTAATCGAGCAAACTGAAAAACTACAAATTGGGTTGATTCAGAAATTAAACGATTAGTCTGTTAATCTATTAGGCAAAGATTTACTTATTTCTTCGGTTTTATATTAAAGTAAACTGAATATCTTGGGGTTTCAGACTGTTGGTTGGACAACATGACATGGGAAGATGTTAACTTGGCCTCTGGGAAATTGTGGTGAGTTCTTTTCACAATTTTCTGACTATTGTCAATCAATCAATCAATCACATATTTTGGAGATTACCTGATAATGAAAATAATAATAATTACAAAATTGTTTTCATTATCTATTCATAAAATGGGTTCATCTTAAACATGACAGAAAATCAGTGACAATATCGACGCCACTTCTTCCACTGTTCTCCCACAGTCGCTTGCAAGATGTCGCCTTTTTTGCAGTGGTAACACCAAAAGAACAAAGTACCAAAGCCTTCGTAATATTCTTTAAGGTTCAAAGAAGACCCTAGTTACCGATTGATAAGTTCCTGCAGAGGAAAAGCCATATATGTATGGTCTTAGCTCACAAAACACACAACACTAGACTAGCACTAGTTTAGTCACAGTTGGTGGTTCATTTCATAAGTTGGCTCGCCGTACCATAAATGTGCACCAAATTCCACCAAATTCCATCCATGTCATGTAAAAAAAGACTTTGTGTGGGTTTCATACAACAAGCTACATCATCGTTCTTTCACCTAGCCTGGATATTGCCATTAGCCCTTATTGTAATTCTGTCCACACTACATTCCCCAGGCAGCGGTGGATGGCCAGGTTGTGTTAGAGCACAGCAAGCATCAAACCCAAATAGGGACAAAATCTCATTATTTCTCAGCAGGCTGCATAATGGGTCAGGTGGGGAGGGGGAAAAAAATCGACATTTTCCTACTACCATTGAGCAGGCATAAAAAACCATCAGAAATCTGATTGCAGCACTTACGGGAAGCTAGCCCGCTGCTGTTGGGAATGACCTGTCGCTTTGTAGCCTGCTCCCCACGGCATGTCGCTCAGCTTCACTTTTACCTACAAATAGGCCCCTTCGCATTCACAGAACCATGGTCAGAGACTATACTAAGCAACAGGATTACCTCAGGTAGTAGGAAAAGACTTCAAAGGCTCAGTAGGAAGTGCTTAGCTCTAACATGGTTAAAGGTTGAAGATGAATTCTTACTAAAGCCTCCCAGGGTGAAAACATATATACTCATAGTATTGTATCAGTTTGGACATTAAATTAAATATTTTAGACACACAAAAACTATTAACACTTACTCAAAAAATTAGAAGCATTAAGGTTGGAGGAGAAAGACAGACAGTTAAAGTGGTCATTCAAAAACACACACACAAAAAAAATACACAGTCCTGCAAAACAGTGACGAGCACAGTGACCCCAGCCATTACTTTCAAATGTCATGAGAAGTGCTGACATTATCACGCCGCCACCACACACAGAAACCCCCAATCCACACAAACCAAGCCGCTGCTCGGAGACAGAGGCTCCGACTGTAAAGCAGAATAACCTTTTTCCATTATCTCTCCAGCCAGTATGGCATGGACCAAACTCAGCAAACAACAGCCTGGCTATATGGGTGTGTGCCACACAGAGCCTGTGTCAACACATGGCACTTAGCTACAGGCAGCCATGCAACACACACTGCAATAACTGTTCTCTGCACTGGCATGGTTTCTGAACACTGTGTGTGTTTGTGTGTGTGTCTGCCTACAGGTTACCCCTTGTGCCTGAGGGTAGAGTTGTTGCCCTAGATCTGATTTCCTCCCTGTGTAGCGCAGTATGCAAACGTTTAAAATACCAAAGTTTCTCTCAGTCAACAGCCCCAGGTAGGGCATACTGTTCCACGGGGAATACAGACGGAGATAGAGAAGACAGAGTGAAGTAGACAAAGACATGGTGAAAGAAAGGAAAATAAGGAAAGCAAGAACTCTTTCAATTATCATGAAACCAAACAGGTACGGCAAATTAGGACTTTTATGACTTAGTACTATATAGTATCTTCCCCAACACTGTATACTGTAAGTATTCAATATAATATATATTATTTTGTAGGTTCTGTATGTTAGACATTTTGGAATTTGTACAAAAAACTAAAATAAAGTAGGATACATTGCAAGTACAGCTGAAGCTGGTAGGAATGTCATTTGTCTTCTAACTCACAAACTAAACGTATTGGATTAATATATATTTCGGTGGTACTAGATGAAAGGTCAGGACATCAAAGTTTTTACAAATCATCCTGAGGGTAACATGGATGTCTGAACCAAATATAAATGGCAGTCCATCCAAAAATGTTGAGACATTTCACGTTGAACCACAAACAACCTTAAGGGGGCACTCGAACAGTCAGTAGAATTCATCCTGTTCCTCTAGAAACCATGAATGTCTGTACAACATTTTTATCTCTATTTATGTTGTTATTGAGATATTTCAGCATAACATAAACATAAATCATAACATTAGGAAGGTCTAAGAAGTTTTACAACTGGCTAACCAAGCTGAAAATCAGCCAATCAATTTTTGGTTGCCTAAAGGTGGCAGACAGAGCGGTTACTAAATTTGAATTATGTATAACTTGAGTGATGATTGACCTGTGGATATAGTCCTGCATATCTTATACAGTAGTTTGCAGAATATTATTTTTGGTTCTGTCTTTTTTTTTTACTCACAAAAACACACAAATTCAACTGTGGTTGAAAAACACTAACACACTAAATTTAGATTTTATATTTGGAAAATAATGTGTTAGTAGGGTCAATTACATTTGGTGGAATATATTAATTAGGGTTGCCTTTTTGAAATGGAGATGCAGCAAACAAATAAATACTGAACAATAGTATTTGTTTGTGAGAGTACAGTACAGGAGCCTCATTGGCCCTATTTATTTTCACAGACATGTTGCCCGTTGTGTAACTGTTGCTCATTATCCCTACTTTGACTCTGAACCTTTGATGATGTGGTTAAGCTTATTTAGTATTGGCAGTTCTGTCTCATAGATGTATTAATGCTCATCAGTTGTGATTTGGTCTTTATTTATTATATATTTATACTCTACACTTTCAGGTTGGAGTAAATCACTGTAACAGCAACACTCTCATTCAGTCAGAGGGTTCTACGATGATCTTCATTAATGCGGGAATGGATGCCAACAAGGGCTACCCGGAAAGTGGTTGGCAGTGGTCAACATCTGGTTGCCCGGGGCAACAAGATAACAGTC